CACGCTGCCAAAGATTGGCAGCATAGTTGTTTGCTGTCCAGACACCATTGCCAGAGCAGAAAGGGGAGACTGGCCTACTTTTTCCATGCTTGTTTCCCTCAATATATTAGTAGCGATTTGAGTGAATATATTGACATCTGGGTCTTGTAAAAAGGTATGCTCTTTTGGTGGCTTTGAATCTGTTTATGAACCTGGCCCTGAAAAATAAGGGTATTTATGAAAAGTCTGTTATATTTATTATTTTATTACTATCTTCTCAGACAGGAATATGGAAGTACACCTACATATTTTTTGTCCCATTTTGCTATATATATATATATTAAAAAAAAAAGGCATCTTGAAGTGAAAATGATAAAGGTTACTGTATAGAGAGGCTGGCGAAGTATGGGCTGGATGAGCAGACAGTGAGGTGGCTTGAAAACTAGCTGAAGGCCAGGCCCACAGGGTGGTAGTCAGTGGAACAAAGTCTAGCTGAAGGCCGGTAACTAGTTGTGTACCCCAGGGATCAGTACAGGATCCGGTCCTCTTCAAGATCTTCATTATCGATCTGGATGATGGGGAAGCGTGTACCCGCAGCAAATTTGCTGATGATGGGAGACTGGGAGGAGTGGCTGATACTGAGAGATCTTACCAATGTTAATAAATATCTGAAGGGAGAGTGTAAAGAAGGTGGAGCCAGGCTGTCAGTGGTTCCCAGTGACAGGACAAGAGGCAGTGGGCACAAACTGAAGCAAAAGAGGTTCCCTCTGAACATCAGGAAACACTTTACACTATGTGGGTGACAAAGCACAGGCACAGGTTGCCAAGAGAGGTTATGGAGTCTCCCACCTGGGGATACTCGGAAGTCATCTGAACATGGTCCTAGGCAGCTGGCTGGAGGTGGCCCTGCTTGAGCAGGGAGGGGTTGGACCAGATGACCTACACGAGGTGCCTGCCAACCTCAACAGTTCTGTGATTCTGAGACAAACCAGGGTCCTTTAGTCACTATTTTGAAGTAGCAAAAGAATTGTAACATTGATGAGAAATATGGGACTTTTTCTTATTTTGTTTTACAGAAGTTGTGTGGGTTTATCCCTTTCATTGTTCATTTGTATTTTGTAAGCCCGGCACTTAGCTATGTGCTTCTGTAACGCAAGTAGTGACCCTGGACTTGGAGAGACCAATCGTAGGAGAGGCCTAGCATGACTCCACCTGAAAAAAATCCATGTAAATCATTTTGTGATATGAGTGCGCAGTAGATGACCAAAAGGTATAATACTGATTAATTTGAAGACCTGTGTGCATGGCTGAAACCGAGTTCTGTTGGCAACTGTGGTCTGGGGCTCCCCCGCCCTCTTT